AGAGAAAGACAGAGAGAGAGAGAGAGAGAGAGAGAGAGAGAGAGAGAGAGAGAGAGAGAGAGCAGTAAAAGACATTTGAATGAAAAAAATTAAAAATAATTTCTACGTAACTTTGAAATTTTATTTTTAAAATCTATCGTAAAACGAGTGACGTTAACGAGGGGAAGACCTTCGAATGACCTAGATTTAATAAACTTTTTATTTTCTCCGCCGACTGTACCTGTCACTTAATTGCCATGTTCTTAAGCAATTTCACGACAGTCCATTCCAAAGCTGTCACCTCTCCAGTAAGAGAAACAATCCCCACGTAATACCTCGAGACGAAAATTCAAAAAATTTCTGAAATTTAATTTTTCATTTTGAATTTTATCAATTGCACAAAACATCATTACAATTAACCTTGTTAATATTACGTAGTCAAGGTCAGCCACCCCCATGTTCAGGATTGAAAGTCAAAATTTCCTCTTTTTTTTTTCAAAATCTTTTCTTGCCCTGAGGTCCAGCAGAGAAAGTTGAAGGGTGGTATCCCTGACTGTGGTACTTCACTATACAAGGTTCAAGTTAAGGGTAGGTGTATATATATTATCCGACCGTACGTTACTTCCTAATTGCAAAGTTTTTCTGGCGAAAGGTTTTCCCATTCGGTCCAGTGAGGATAAGACTTTATCGCAGACCCTTGTTCTCGCCATCCATCCATGGCTACCAACCCCTACGGTAAACACGTTACCGACCCCCGCTCAATGGAAATGTCCAGAACACACGTTAAAATGTCGTTACGCTTTCGCTGACGAACAAATCCACCCCCGCCGCAACCCTTCGTATGGAAATGGTCATTTTAACGTAACGACGCAAAACTACCCCTTCGTCATACGCGGCGATTTTATTCAGTCCGCATGATTAATGACTGCGGTGAGATGCTACTTGTATGACGTCATCGCGCGTGAAACGATTGCGAAACAACGTTATCGCTGATAACGAATGACGTATAACGTATATTGATACAGTGGGACCTGGATTTTCTTTTTCATTTTTTAAGGGTGATGGGGGATTTTACAAAAAATAGGGGTTGTATCAGCCTACGGCTGATTCCATTGTACGTCGAAGAATGCCTAATCGAGGATCATCGAATATCGCAGGAACATGTGGGTACCTGGGTACCTGAAATTGGTGATTCAGCCCTGACGTTATTTCCCTAAGTGTGTGTTGGGGAGAAGGTTTTCAAGGACTTGGGGATGCAGGAAGAAAATCGAGGTTGGAGGAGATCGAGGTTATATGCTGTACATGGGAAGGTCTAATGGGCAGCTTCGCAGGGTTATTGAGGGTCTCGCTTAAATAGGGATCAACGAAATTGTATGTTTACATACGTGTGTCGTCTTTTCGTATATTACGGCAGGGTTCACTGTACTCGAATTATTTTCACCTAAGTTAAGTCCGGGACGAACCTGGCTGCCGGCAAGATGAATTTATTTCCGGTTCTCCGGTGTACCCCCGTGTACAGGGGTGGCTGTGCGGTAAATAATTCTCATGCGAAGAAATATCGCCTTCCGGGATTCTCCCCTTGTGTCCTATACAGCTTGGAAAAGGCAGTCCCGTACGGGGAGAGTTGGTACGAGTAGCCATTATATGTATATATATAGCTTGTGGTGCCTGAGTGGAAAGTTAGAGGTAAAATTTTCGAGCTTCACTACGATACGAGCATTTTTCAAAATTATTATTCTTCAATAATTAATTTTTTATCCATCTTGTCGTTTGAGTATAAAAATTTATTCACCTGTTGAAAAAACTTAGGATGGAAGTAGCACGTGTCATGGAATTGGATTTCCGTAAGCTGGAATGTTGGATTGATGGTTAACCTCAATTTGTTAAATTTTCACTATCGAGTAACGTAGCCCAAACCCAATCAGCAGTACCTTACAAACCGGATTATGTTTGAAGGAACATGTTCGTGGCTTGGTCAACGGTCAAAGAACATTCCGGTTCAGCTGTTTGGTTAACTCTCCTTTAGGCGTAAAGGGACGAAGTGCTCGGGAAATGGATGTCTAGCGAGTTGGAAGTGACGATATTTAACGCGTGAAAAATCCAAATTTGTTTGTTATACACTCTTTTTCTACAGGGTGTCAAATGTTGGCTATAGTATACTTAGGAGTCTTGGGGTGTGGGTCCGTAAATCCAGAAGTAATATATTAAAAAGTATAATGGGAAGGAAAACTTCCAACATAAATCAGACATTGTCAGTTACTGTAGGGACTATTAGAAAAGAGAGTTTGGTGTTTTACGTACAAGGGACATTTGGAACTTTATTTTCTTTGTCAGCTACGTAATTTCCTTAACTGCAGTCTCTTATCGTCAAGTACCAGGATCCAATATCAATACTTAACGAAAAGTGAGGAAAGTAAAAGAACCGTTGGAAGTATTACCGAAACTAGAAATGTCCAATCAAAACTATTTTTTCTACCATGGACTTTTTATTGTATAGCTTTTATTTATTTTTTTTTCTAGCCATTTTCTTTAGTCACAAACATTCATTTTTTTCTTCTTTTCTTTTCTACACATTAACCACGACTAAACCACCCGTGTAGAGCACTATGAGTATTTATGGTGTTACGCACTTAGTATATACTCGAGGGTGCTTTTAGTACCCACTGGGCGAATTCTCATCGATTCTTATCCATTTCTAAAATAGTTCTGGGTATATTCCAAACAGTTTCTTATTGGATAGCCAAGCTGCCAAATTCATGTTTGCCTGTGATACACAGAATTCGAACATTTCCCCGTGAATCAGAGCTTCGATAAAATAAATATTTACGTTATATAGAATTTTCGTTATTAATATCAATTTATCATAAGCGTATCATTGGAAAATACGAATTATTTCAGTCGAACGAAGTGGGGTTGAAATTAAATCATGTTTTATGAACTTGACACCCTTTTATTTATTGATACCTCCATCATACCCGATAACGAATAATAAAAGAGTGGTAGTGTAAAATTTTTTGTAAGTATCCAGCAATATACCCAGGGCGCTTTCGAAGTATGGTACTAACGAAAATTAAAGGGGGATGAACGACTGCTGGGATTTCTAAAGAGATACAATTCTTCAAACTACACCCTTCAGATAGTAACTCAGCAAAGTAACCAGAATCTTATTACTCGGACATAGAATCTACAAGAATTCCTTGAAGTGGTCTCTTTGAAGATAAAATTAAATGTACTTATTTACCTTCAGAACCTTGCTCGTCTTTTCTTGGACATACGTACTATTTGATAATTCATAAAGTGAATTTATCGGTACAAACGAAGGAATAGAACAATCTTGTAAAAGTCCTGTATACTTGTTCCGAGAGTCCTTGACATTTCTCACACACGTGACACTTCATTTTATAGCGCACTTGAACTTTTCTATCCTTTCTCTTAACCGCCATTTTCTCTTGACACTCCTTGCTCATCTAATATCGCCTAGCGCACAATTAAAATTACATTTGAAAATTCAACCTTCTCACCCGACGATTCAGATATCTTTTACCTTTATGATTGATTCACTGCACAAGTTTCATTCACTCCGGATCATTCCGATACTGCATAGTCTCAGACCCGCAGGTCAAGTTTTCAAAGTTCCACACAGTCATGATCTCTTCTTCAGAAACATTCTAAACCCGATCTTCCTTTACCTTTCAGTACAAAAATTCAATCCTCTTAGGTACGACTTACCATTAAATCTGTAGCAACTTTAAAATACGACGTCAAGCTTCCTCTCTAGCCTCTCTTTGTAAATCCGCACAATGGCGCCACAAGTGCCAATAGAAACTTTCCGATTGAGTAGCGTCGCAGCGCCATCATGGAAGTTACAGTGGAACGCACGGCGAACGAGACAGTACGGTCGTTTAACAAAAATGTTCTTTCTACTGGAAAATAATGAATGGACATATTTCCAGTCATCCTTTCTTACTTGAAAACTATCTTAAATAATATAATATCACCACGTAAGTTTCTTTGGAATATGCATTCTTCTCGGTTTTGAACTTATCATCGACTGTGTTCTCAACGATTTTCTGCTTTCCTTCCGTAAGTCGAATGTATTTTCTTGAAAAATTTCTTACTGCTTCTCTTTGTATTCTTTGTTCTTTCTCTGCTGTGTACAGTCTACGAATTTTCCGAGATGACGGTTCTTAAGTATGATGCATCATGTAGCACTTCATATGCATTTAGGTATATCTATATATGAAGGACATAGTAGAGGCATACACATAGGTATAACCATGTATGCAACCTACAATTTCTCTTGTCTGACATGTTCTCTGTATTCTCTACCAGAGCTCTATTATCTCTACAAGCTCACAGAAATAGCCGTTGCTTACGCGAAAATATATCACAGACGGTAATTGTACTTGGGCAAATAAGAATTTTTGCACTGAGACAAATTTTCTCCTTTGTCTTCACAGCTGATATTTACGACGAGACCGGCGTTCAGCTCAAGCAATACGGTTCGGCGTTGGATACCGAATGTCTTGGCGGTGGCAGAATAAATCATAACCAACCGGAGAAGAAGATTTTGGTTTATGGATACTCTCAGGTAATTTCCTTTGTGATTAATTAAAGTTTTTAATTGTCAATTACATGTAAACACCAAAGGATCCATTAACCGTAAGTTAATTTAGGTACGGAACTACTTTGAAGAAATTGTGTTACAGAGTCGTTACGTTTCTGTGCTCTTACAATTATATTTTTATTTCGTACTGTATAGCCGTGAGGTAACTTCGTAAGATCTCTGGTTCTTGTGCACTGCTCCGTGAAGGATAAAATTGGTGGGTCAGGATGAAATACATTTCTGGCGTAGCTTTCTGGTAATGCGAAGTTTTTTCTTCATACTTTCTGAAAATGAACAAGCTCTGAGTGTCATGATCCATTTTGTTTTTTGAAATTTTATATGAATACTCTATCTGGACTTTATTGAGTTTAGATAAAACTTTTCCCTAACAGATACAACGCATGGCTGTTACTAACGTTTGGCAGTTAGAAGAGACTGAATTCAGAATTTGAATTTTTATGGAAAAGTTATACATCTCTTGAGAACGAAGTTGAAGAACTTCTTTACGTCAATACGATCCGTCTTCTTCTCGAATAATATAGTTTGAGTCTATACGTATATATTTTACTCACAGCAAAGCAGATACAAACGAATATGTATAAAATAGCAAGTTTAAATTAGATACGGCAATTTTATTTGATCTAATAAATAAGAATTTATATTTAAGTCGTCTTTTTTCGAACTGCTATATCTTTCTCTCTCTCTCTCTCACTCTGTCATATTTTCTGGGGGAGATAGTATAAAACACGTAAGAGAGTATACCGGTGAAAGTAAAAGGAAGAGAGAGACAGGAGAAAAACGTTTTGCCTCGGGAAGTTTAATCTGAATTTGTATTAAAAAGTCCTTTAGTCCCTTTGGGGGTTGGATAAAGATTCAGGGGCTTCGGCGGTTTTAGAGGTTCTAAAGCCACGAAGTGTTCAGGGAAGCAATTTTAGCGTCGCCCTGGGTGCTCCGATTTTACCAGCTCAGCGATGGATACGAACGTTTATCTGGGGATGCTCGTCATGATTTTTTGACACTTGCCTCAATGTTCCAATTTCTACCCAAAAAATACAATAGTAAACGTGACGCACACGTTACGTGCAATGCCATCCTCATTTATGTAACGTCAAGGTACCAGTTGACATTATACAAATTAGGCTGACATTGTTGCTAACGTGCGCGTCACATGTACTATTGTGTTCGCTGGGTAATTTATCATAATAAAGCTTGTCGAGCCGCCATGATGGAAGATATGAAATAAGATTTAAGTTAAGATCGAGGACATATCTGTCAGAAGGATAATAAAAAACGACAACGGAAGAAATGAAATGAATAGGTTAAGAGTCAGTTTAATAATGTAATTTATTGTTCATAATAAAGTATAAAAAATTTATTGTTCACTCGTATAAACGATTCGCAGCCATCGCTGGGACCATATCTTTTTTTGGTTGCCCTTTTCAAATATTTTAGGATCTTTTATTATTATGCGTCTCTAAGTATGCCAGTCCTTTTTTTATCAATCGACCCTTTCATGTCGCTCTACTATTTTTCTCCGCAGTCTACGGCAATGCTCTTATCGAATTTATTGATAGGCTACTGCAGAAAATCAATCAATTCGATCCGGAAGATTTATTGGAAGGTCTTTGTTTGTTTCTAGGGATTTGGCAAAGCTGATCACAAAATTACGGTTGATCTGCTCAAAAAAAAGTATCCAGAATATAATATTACGTGGTCCGACGAAGGATATTGAAGCAGACTGTTTTATTCTTTGTGACGAAGGAAAAACTTATCGTTCGTTGTACCTCGGAAATTGTGGTTCTGGAATTGGCTGTATTTGTTACAAAAAAATGTATTGTTGTGCTATTGTACGAAATAAAAGCTTTTCAATACTTTCAATTTTTTGTCTACCACTCTCCAGTGAATGGATTTCGATTGAAATACGCTTATTTAGGATTGATAGTGGTTGGGTTTGTTCAATGTATCACATATAGTGATATTGCGGATGAAATTGATCTGTTCTGGTTGAAAAAATGTTACTGTAAGCCAATAACAGCGCAGATGTCCTATTCGAATTTGTTCTATTCGTGATTCAACGGTATGATGCTGCCATCTATTCGTAGAATTTTACAACGGTAAGCGTCTCAAAACTTATCCACTGAATAATTGCATTATAATTTAAGTTTGGGTAATTAACAAGGCCAAAATTAATAGCAAAAATTTTATTATAAATATATTCACAAGGTGACTGAGGATAATTTACGAAGTAAATATTAAAAACTATAAACACTTTATAAAATTAGACTTGAAAAATTGGGGACAAGTACAAAAGAAAAACATCTACAATTTCAGTTGAGTGATATAGAATGAATCGCTTGTTTCCATGTCGTCCATTAAGTTGTCTTCATTTTTCTTTTGGCTCTCACCAAGGCAGCACAAATCATGTACGTTCGTTCTACAATACTGCGCAGGATGAATGACGTCTGACTCATTAACGTAATTCAAATCAGCTACATCCATTATCTCCATCTCTCTATTACCATTTGACGATGCCACAGCTTCGTTTGTGCTGGGTATCAATGGCATCGCGTCTGCAAGCACAAATGAACTGTTATAGTTCATACATAAGGGCAACCAAGCCATACGAAGAATCATGTAAACTTACCAGAATCGATATAGACCTTAGGACTGCCAGTCACATCTTGCTGAACACTGCTCAAGGCGTCTTCAATGCTTTTTAATAATTCATGCTTTGATTCGCTATCTAAACGCATATCAACATTATATATAGTGTTAACAACTTTTCCAAGATCATCCGGTACATTGATTCGCTTAAAATGCTTTGCTTCTTCCGGTATGTCGTCAGTCTTACAATAAGGAAATTGTATCGTCAAATATCGTTTGTTTCGACGAGGATAATTTTCTTCCAGTAATCTAAGCGCGTAATTGTCTAAGTTCCTATAAATAATATGGTCGTTTGTGTCGTCGGACTTGGGTGATGTCGCGATGATAACAATATCGGCCTTGTCAAATGCACGGCGACACCAGTCACAGGGATTCTGTGTAAGAAAATATGAATGGCGTATCGATCACTGTATTTCAATTGTATTTTGTGTTACGAGACTTGAAATATTTTACCTTTGTTGTATTCTTTGGAATGTCCAATACGTCGATCATTGCATTAATGTTGCAGCTTCTAAGATACGTTGCTAATTGTACCATTACATTGATGTGAGACTCGTGTGTTGGAGAATAGACCAGTAGACAGTTTGGTTTCTTTTTCAGCATTTTGACGAATGCTGAAAATTGACAAAATTATAGAACACTATATATGCGTTGGTTTGGTGATATTCATACGCTGTACTTTGTAAAATTTTGTAGGTACGTACTTCGCTCTCTATGTAATTTATATAAGTGCCATGCAACGCACAATAGTACAAATGGTATTGCACAGAGTGACCACATAGGGTGAACTATCATTATGTGTACACGGTCTAGAATAAAAAGAAAGGATATAAGTATTTGGAATATTTATAATTAATTATTATTGAAAGTTATGTAGTTACTTCGATTGATGTATGGTAATGTACTGTTATTACATCCATTTTTACTGCAGTTTGGATGCATTGCAGCTACTTCAAACGAATTTACTCCTTCGAACAGTGAATAACGTAGCTCAATGTGCTCTTCACTTGTGCCAGTTTCAATTATTGTTTTGTTAACATCATTGGTATCGCTTATCAGCCAAACTATGTATCTCGTAACATTGAATCTTTTTGGTGCAGGTTGTATGTACAATATGACAGAATTTGAAACTGATACATCAACATATATGAATGGTGTGTAGTATTGTATTTTGTTTGCTTCTATATGTTAAGTGGAGAATACAACTTTATGACTTCAAGAATCGAAATTAGATGGGTAATTAGATATGTATAATTGTGACTTACGAATATCACGATGTTTTGGAACTATGAATTTTAATTGTCTACTGTAAGTATAAGTTTTCCCAACTACTAGATACTCCAAGCTATAGGGTAATCCCTCGGCAGATATGTCGGAGAATTGGCAGGACATGAATAACTCTGTAGGAGTTAAATGTGTTACATTTTCATTTAAATGTATATAACTGCATACCGACAATTGCTTATCTCCAATAGCCTGGTATCTCATGACTAATTCTGTAATAAAAAGTATAACATTTCTTAAAAATCCATTTGCGTAGCTTCAGACATATCACGCTTACCATGAAAACCAACATTCTTGACAGTAAAATTAAAAGCTGGGTCTAGAATTACATTCTTAGCTTTTGCTACATATGCATTAAGTTCAAACTTCTCAGGAAAATGTCCATCCTGAGGTTTACCTCCCAAGTTTTTAAACTTGAAGTCGATACAATCTAGTAACAAGAAAACGATCAGTAACACTGTCATTATACAAAAATTCATCTACAGAATAAATCCCTTACTGTTGTTTCTCTGAAACTTTATTAGCTCGCAAGGGTAATGAGACACCGATTCTGAAAATCTCTAAGGACAATAAAATATACATTATAAAATGAAATTCACCAAGGAAATATGACAGAAATTTTTAAAACTACTTACCGTAACATTGTGACAAAAGTTAGGATAACAACCTCCATGAATATTTTTCACAAAGAAACATAAAAATATGACAAAAAGTTTAACTGACATCGTCATTTTTTCTGTTTAACAACGAAGAATTGCAATTGGCGTTGTATATGTCACGATATCAGCACAACTGATATCTCATTTGTGCAACATGTCCAGGTAAGGCACAGATTAGAATAACATAAAGAAAAACCGTACTTATCGGAGACTTCCTAAACGTCCGATGACTATTTACGATGATCATTGTAGATTATAAAGAATCGTATGCACTTGTCACGCATCGTAATGTTACGAGATATATTATAACAAAATGTATTGTTTATTATCATAAGGTTGAAATTCCTTAAATAAAAAGAACAAGATAGTAGACTAGTCCCGTTCACTTCTGATCCTCGTGCTTTCTCTCTCCTAACTCACAGTACATTAATTTCCAGGAAAATACTGAGATATGTTTTCCTTGAACATCATACTGATACCAGACGGCACTCACCCAACTTGTAGTTATATCATCACGCGCTCCATCTGCGACCAACAACAGAACAACCCTGAAAATCCACTGATCGACTGCAGCTACCAGTTAAACTGAAGATTACTGCATAGCCAAACTAAGGATGATAAAACCTTTACAACACTTACCATACACCTCACATTATTTTAAACTACAGTAACCTGTGCCTCCACTATGATGGCAGCACATTCACCTCTCACCACTCGTAAATCCCCTGAAAAATCTCTCAACAGCGCATAAGGTATCCAAAACTGGTGGCACTTAAAAACAAGCCTTTTTATTTCCACAATAAAAAATCAAACATACCCATAACTCGCATCAAAATGTCAAGTCTACCAATGCGTTATCCAAAAATTCATCCTGAGTGACACTTAAAAAATCGTTACTTCAAAAATGAAGACTTTATCTAAAATAACATGACAATCCACTCAACTATATAATAAAATAAAACAGTTTTTGGACATTATATACCCGTTTGATATCCAGTAATGAAAAATCATCAAGACTTCAGAGAGACGTGTCAGGTTTCTCATGTGAGGCATTACTGATTACAGTGAGTGTCCGAGAAAATACTAGGCTAGCTGACTGGAACATTATAGAGTAGTGTGATCGTAGAATCTATCTTGAATCGCAGACGGGGCTGAGTCGTAGGCTGACCAGAAAAACAAACATATCATTTTTCGATGATAATCGCATAGCCTATGTGTCGCGTGTCACTTCTCATAGTGGCAAACACCTCGAACGAGAGGAATGCAGATACTACTATAGTATCAGGAGTGTAAGTATCCAACTATACGTATGCACGTAAAAATCTCTCATATGTATACGTTACACTTGAGTCTCGGGTGACGGCAGTTGCACCTGTCTGGCCGTCTGCCTGCAGTCCGAGCGGCGCCAGAGCTCTACTCATTCCAATGGCCGACACAACTAATTCTATCCCGTCGCGACAGTAGCGCCACTTTCAAAAACAATTAGCTATGAACTAGCATTAAAAATTGAAAAATTTTCATAAGAAAAATGCAACAAATATTTTTCACTACCAAAAAACGACGGATAATTAAAAATTAATGGATTTTTTAAATTTATTATATTTATTTTGACTACAGATACTGTATCGTAAAAAATAACGTACCTGCATAGCAAAGTATAGTATTTTTCTATTGCCATATTTTTAAAGGGTCCCAATGAGGCCTAAACTACAGGCTAAGCTATGGGTCCGCTCAATTGCCTTCTCGAGCAGGAGAATTAATTGATCCCTGGCATCGCTTCACGCCTGATGTCTCTTCTCTCTTTTCTTAAGAGCCCTACACGCCTCTCGTTCCGTTTAGCCTTTCCCGCCTTGGACGCCGACGGGATAATTAAAAGAACGGGTCCGCTTTAGATCGTTTTAGATTTCGTGTTGTGGCCTCTGCGCTTCTTTATTTCTCACTGACGTATAGCACTACGGGGCGACCACGAATAGCTTTTCCGCGTAGTCGGCTCCCAGATTGAAGCGAGGAGTTACAACGTGAGAATAGAATGATCGCCATCTTGGGAATCGACCGAATCCAAATTATTGTACTGGAACACTCATACGGCAGATGCAATTGGAAGTTTGTGAAAAACGGCGCCATTAATTATCATTGGTCACAGATCACTTGGAGAGCATATATATATATACATACGCGCATATATACAGGCGTAACACACAATTTAACCAGAAACGATCCTCCTCGTTTAACTACAGGGTACAAAAAACGGGACAAGAAGATTAAAAAAAACATATTTCTTCGCACAAAATCGCAATTGGAGAACCGTTGCTTCGGGTGGTCACGGAAGATCTTGGTGCTATACATATTTTCTCTTACGTTTATAATCGCTCTCCCTATCTTCGTCACTCTTCCTATGTACATAAGATGAAATATATACATATATTTAGGAAGACAACCCAGTTGTTTCTCTTATTCTACCCCGAGTCCTTTCTCCCTGAAGTTATCGACGAGAAAAAAAAATGAGTGGCACCATACACATACACAGATATATTTACTATTAACATCACATAGCGACCCGTATTATTATACGTACTAACTAACGGCGGATAACGAGGATCACGCATGGGAACATACTTTCTCACGTGCTCGCATTCATAATTTCTCTCATGCTCCATCACAAGGCCCACAGGCTGAAAATCGATGCCATTATAATACTTATTCTTACTCAATATTATATCCGCAACGTGTATCCGTACATATATGTGTATATATATATATATACAAAAGAAAGGGGAAAAAATGGCAGCCACGAAGCACATCTGTTGTATATCCACACGTCGCTCAAGAGCGAGATACAGTGCAGAGTGCACACGAGGTGGCTCTGTGCTCTCTTTACTTCTGGCTTAGGTTAGGTTAGGTTTCTAGAAGGCATAAGAGGGCCCCGCGTGTGCGAGGCCGATGAATTATACGGCAAGTGGCCATATATGGGCTGTACGCCGCGCACCGAGAAGACACCACACGAAAAGCCGAGTCCCTTTTATTACACGCTCGACACTGCACGTATGTAAGGCGCCTTCTCCTTTAATACCAAGAAGTGCATAAGTGCATCGCTGCACGCAAAACTTAGGTATTTTCTTGAGCGAGTGTCCACAGGCTTGAGAGCACGATGCACTGGATGCGTAAGGTATATACTTATTAGCCATCCATTACGCAAGCGGGACGCCATTTTACACTGATTAACATAGTAATTACAATTTAATTAAACGATTCGTGTCGGGTCGAGATATACCGATGAAATCAAGACGTCAAATCAGTTCGACTACCCGCGCGAATTGGATGCACGCAGTTTTTCGGCCAGTGTCGCCCCAGGCGGACTTTTCAGGAACTAAATAACATGGCGCGACAATCTCGCCGCGAGACATTCTACGTTTCTCGGTAGTGGCCAAACACCGTACCCCGGAGATGGCTCTGATGGTCGATGACGATGGCTAAAGGCGGTGATGGTTTAAAGTAGTGGCTCTTTTATTCTGAAACAGCCGCGATCCAACGTTTCTTAAACACCCTGTACCCTTGTTCCAGCACTCGGACTTGCAAACAGTATAGGGAACCCGCTCGGGCGGACTGCTTATATGCGAGGCTGGCGCCGCACTGTCGCATCCTATATACAGCATCTCTGGCTCACACTGTTGATTCCTATACTCCGTACACAGTTGGCTGCACTCGGTGGTATGAATTCCACGTATAGATACGTGGACCAGTACGTATCCTCAGGTATGCATACATATATATACTCGTATTACGTATACATGATGACTGGCGGTTCCGCCACGTACGGCGGGAAGCTTCGAGAGCGGGAAACCAGCACGTAGGAAGTGCATACACGCGGATGTTGGTACGCGAGTGGAGGTGAGCGATATAGAAAATTGCAGGAGAGAAAGAGAGAGAGGTTATGATTATTAAAGGGAGAGGCAGCGAGTAGGACGGTGAGATGGAACACGGGCAGCCAGTGTACGATATATATATATATATACAGCTTACTGCACTGGCTTCAGCATTCTCATGCCTCTGTGTATCGCAAACCGGCGGTTGCTGCTGCATTAATTAAACGCAGATGCCGATGCCTTGTCACCCGCCATTTGCCATTCGCGTTTGTGTTGCCCGGCCAGGGCGGCACCTAATTCATCCTCACTCGGCCGAAGCTCTGATCCACGTTCAGGACAGGGACCACTACTGTTATAATTCTGTCTCTCTTATTGCAGTGAACTACGTCACCACGCACCCGCGCCAATTGGTACCAGCTTTCGTGTCTACGTCGCGAAACTGGTTATGCGCTACGTGGGTTAACTGGCTGGGACAGGTGGCTGGAACGTTGTAGGACGAGAGGATTGATGCCGCTGCCAATCGTAGCAGGACGGAAGAGAATAATGCATGAGGACAGGGCGGAGATATATTGGAAAGTTACATCGAATTGGATGATTACGATAAGTATGTAAGCTATGTAAAATTTGAAGGATGGAAATTTTAAAAAAATTTATTTTTAGATGGGACACGTGGAGAAGCGTTTTATGATATTTGTATGATGGCCAACACGTGGGAGAATGTTTGATGGAATTTGTATGAAGGGATGAGAAGAAAAAAAGATAAAGCACAGCAAGTCGCAGTATAATTTTCAAATGCGTCCCGGATTCGGGATACGTAATAGGAGAGAGAGGAATCTTGCGAGGATTGGTGTTGTTTCTCGAAAAAACAACGCACTGGGCACCGACGGCGTCGGTGGCGGCGGCGGCCAACGAGGGAACGAGCAAGCTAAGCAAAATAAAGAAATGGAGAAAAAGGAGAATAAAAGGTGGGAAGAGGCTAGCGCGGCGCCTGGCTGGAATGGTTCTACGGGTCTTGGCACTCCGATTGTGCGACTCTGTAGCATCCCTGGAGCGGCGCAGAGTAGACTGAATGTGTGGGTCGGATGCTGCATGGACCCGAAACAGCGTAGAGCATTGTTCGGCTCGCCTATAAAACAAGCAGTGAACTGACTCGTCGAATCCGGGCTACGGGGTAACAAGCTGGCATCGAATTGCTTCCCTATACCCACCATTACCATGCTGGCTATTCGATGGTGGTCATGATGTTGGATTGGGATATCCTAGAATTATAGAAATCAACAATGGATGGCATTCATTTATTTTATTCATTTTGTGAAAAAAATATTTCAACTCGGGATTTAGCTGTTAAAGAAAAATTGAAAAAATAATCCATCGAAATCAATCAACGTTTTGATGTGTAAGAAAAAAATTTCTTCATGAATTCTGCTCAACTGTGTTGATGCCTGTTTGTCCTTTCTTTGGTTACAGAAAAAAATGACTCCCGGATGACACGTATCTCTATGAAGGTGTCGACTCCCGGACAGACACGTAATGACGAAACGGTATAATGGACGCGGCATTCCTGAAAGGGGGGGCGTCCTCGAACGATAAAAAGAAGATGAGCAAGCTTGGTGTCCCACCTGTTTCCACACGATCACGTTCATCGTCACGGCGAATCCCCCTGGAATTTCGTCATGTTAATATTCAACGATTATTCAGAAAGATGATAGACAGAGAATTCCGTGAGCTCAATCTAATAATATGGACTAGCAGATTTTTCAAAATTGACATGGATACCAACTTTTGCTTTGTAGATTAAATCCAAGATATCTGAACGAGAGGGAAAAATAATTGTTCACTCCAATGAATTTTATATTGTTGGATGAATCTTGATTTTGCACCTTGGTCGCTTCATTCATGTCCCTCGGTTGGTAAGATGTTTTCAAGCCGTCGTGACGACCATGAACCGACGGCGTTCGTAACGTTGCAAATGGCAAGCTGGAATATTTTATGGGTAAATAGAATGCGCAAGGCGCCCGGCTTGTTAATTAGCCATTGTTTTACAGACACCCTTTATGCAATGAAACGCACCTAACCTATATTCATTGACAGCCAAGACGTACCTTTTGCGCAGATGCCCTCCAGGTACTTCTTCGAGGCTTTGCCGTTGGTACTACGCTACAGCAGTTTTAAACGAAGCATTGAAACCGGCTCGATGTCTTTCTGGTATTGTTTCTTGCCGGGACCAATTATCTACGGTGGTTCAGGTTATTGTTGTAGTCAGACCCACTGGGCGTACCAGACTATTCCATTCGCACCTAGGACTAAGAAAACAATAAGTCGAACAAAGGGATAGCTCCAGGATTATGGTCCTCGGGGTACTGGCCCTCAGTAATACGGATCTATCGGGATAGACAGTTTTTACGAAGGAAACTGTATCCAGTTCCCTGCAATACCGACGCAGCAAGTATGTCCCGGTACTAAGGAATTTCAATAAATTCCATCCTTCCTTTCGACAGACTCCATAGCGTCACGGGCCATTCGTTTTCTATCCCGTTGCCCCACGAGGAACATGGGGCCCCATGGGTGCCACGGTGCCAGAGTCTTGACGCCAGGCTCCTACCGGCAGAGGTGTGTCGGAGGATCTTGTTCTCCTTGAGAAGGGACTCCGTATAAAAGGAGATGATGAGGGAGAGATTCTATTCGGTTCATGGGGTCCAGTGAAGCAGTCGGTCAGCTGGCGCCAACACCCCTGCCATCCCCTCTTCTCCTCCTTCCTACCGAACTGCATTTCGCCTCATTAATCTTGCTTTATGGTCGCCGCTACACCTAAATCCTTCACTCACTCAAACCAGAGACGCATGGTTCGACCTCATCCCCTGGGGAAGTCAAGAGCCGTGAAACAATGGACCACTCGTTGGATTTTCGATGGACCATGACGCACTCGAATATTCGGACAATTAAACGCACCCATCGGGGACGTCTTCTTTGACGTTCATGAACGACGCACGTACGTCGTCAATTACGACGCTTTAGATACATTTCATCCAGAGCCTAAATAAAAAAAAATAGATCAGCCATAAGTCCAAAAATGGTCAGTTCAGATTTTATTAAATTTTACCTCAAGAGTAGTTTCGTCGAATTTTTGATTTTCTAAAAATTCATCCAACCTATACTCGTCTCACAATGGTTGTAAACGAAGACATCAGTTGCCTATTCATCGTCATACTCTTCTGTTTCAATTACGCACCCCTGACTTGCTTCAGCCATCTCCCCGTGACTTTAGAGGGCTGTTTCCACGTCGGGTCAATCTAGCAAACTGCGGGATACGCCGTCGCAAGGTCGGATTCATCAACTCTCCCAGTCGCATTGCTGCTGCTGTCGTCACTACCAGCAGAAACGTAACCACCCTTGCTCCCTATACCGTAAGGGCGCACGGTCTCATCCCACCATGGTTCTTCAGCTTTATATCTTTCTACCTCGACGAACTCCGAGTAAAAGAGCCAGTGACGCAGACACTTTTCACGCTCTGCTTGTCCATTCTACTGTGGCGACATTGTGCTCCCTTGCAATAAACGACGTCGCGTCCTTGACTAAAGAATAAATTCTCACGTCTGTACCGCCTTTATGGTGTCTCACGTGTATATCAATATACAGTGTAACAACGTCGCACCTACAACAGAAGAAATGATTTTTATCAGATTCATAGTTTGGATTTTTTGAAAAAATCAGGATCGTCATTCGCGATAATCAGCTAAACAGTTATTACGTTTAATCGATAATCGTAAATATCATATAAGATATCAATAACGACTTTTTTTCAAACTCCATTTTCACCAGTCGAGCTATGGATTTCGGAACACAGCCAGGAGTTACAAATAGAAGATAATGGAGTCGATCGTTGAAAACGGCTCCTTATAAATAAGGGATGTGGAAAGTTATATAGGAGGAGAATGTATAAAAAGGCTGTGTCAACTCTTGGATGACGTACCGCGAAGTAGCTATATATGTATATAGATATATGGTATATGAACCTTTGGCGTGTTATCTTCACGCTTAGTGACCACCGTTTCACGATTCACCCTGTTACTTCCTATCGTTGGATAGTCAAGGGTTTTAAGGGTGGCTCGATTGCGTACGAGAGAAACTAAGAGAGTCTCTAGAGATAGGGTTGGTTAGAGACCGTCTAGCGGAGACCTGATGCGCCGTCTGCGAAATCTTATGGGGCGCCCTGTCTGTCTATAGAATGTTTTATGACTTGGAAAGGGCGAATGGGGATTAAGTGACTGAGCACATTCGTGATCAACCCCTCGTGGAGAAGTCACGTGGCAGACGGAAATGGCTGCAGCGCCCGGAACCGGATTTCGCGAGGGTTGAAGAATCGAGGGGTAGCGAATCGAGACGTCCTTCGGATGTGACGTCACAGCGGGAAACTTAAGGGATGGTTGATTTCTGTATTTTTACATGTATTATATATGTATATATATATATTTCTATGTTTCACGGATATTTTGGTTCTAGCTCGAAAAATGTATTTAGAAATTTTTTTTTCTCGTTATCAAGGAACAAACTTGTTATCACAAATTATTTGGAATTCATGGAAAATATCAATGACCGAAGTTGTTTCTGAATGAAGCATAAGCGACGTGAACGCAGTGAATGAATGCTGGTCGTAAAACCGGCGGTGGGATAATGTGTGGTCGTTAAATTCGAATTACAGGTTTTCTCTAATTTGAACGGCGCTCGAGTTCTGTCGAAAATTCGTCATCGAACTTACGTCCGTGCCTTTTGGAAAATATTGTACGTGCGTAAGTTCTTGGAATTAAATGATTTTCTTATGAAGTTCTCCGTGCGAGTATGAGAAGTAAGGTAAGTTTTCTTGTCGGTTACTGGGAAACGAATTGAAAAAAATTGTTAATTATCGAAGATAAGATAACAAGCCTGTCCAGGCTTAAGGATATTCAATCGAGGCTGTTTTTAGTATCGACTAAATGTATATGCAATTTATTGCTTCTTTCTGGTATTGATTATAAATAATGTCTAGGACGACGCCTTTTTTTTAATGGCATTCCTGGCATCGCTACGCTACTACTTTTTTACATATCCTATATACTCTCCTTCGTAAATGCTCTTTGATCCATCCGACTATAATTCAGAGGAAAACACTCGACTCGAATTAACCTTCGTGTACAGTCGGCAATCGAACAAACAGGACACTCGATTCACATTAATCCAATGGATGTCGTTGAGCTGTCGCCGTGATCGTAACTCCGGGTTAAATCGCAGTGGCAAAAGTTACAAGCTATGGCGATGACGTCAGTCTGAACGTAATCAAAGGCTTCTACGGGGCTGTGATGAATTTTCGAAATTTGATAATCGCTCACCGATTGGTGAGTCATGAGAAATTGCGTTGGCTCAGAAAACTATGAAAGCTGAATTTTTTATTTCAGACATCAATATGGCTCGGCAAGCTAGATATACACAATTTCAAAAATGACATTACCGTTAAGCGTTATCATAATGAAAGAATTAAAAAAAAATAAAATCCCTATATCGTTATTTGGAAAATAAAATTATCATAAACGTACCATACCTTAGTTCCCGCAGAGATATTCCTGTAACCTCAAAATCGTAACTGCCGCTTCATCTACTTTACCGCTACCTTTTTTTCTTTCTCTTTCTTTCGTCAATATCTCTGCTCTTGATTCATTTTGTTCGTAGCTGTTACGACTTTACGACCTCGCCCGAAGGAAGCTGAGACGATAGTTCCTCTTAATGAGGAGTTAAGCAAGGTATGTGTGTCAGAGTTGATGTCGTGGCTGATATACGTTATATACTTGACGTCACTGACATGAGGGTCCACCTTTACGCCAGAGGTGTACACGTAACGAGGCGAGTAGTTCCATTAAATTTGAATTCCCTTGGACGGTTGCGCTGAGTCAATTCGCACGAGGAAACTACGTATAAGGCGCGCACGTAATTCACGACGGAATTGAACCTTTGAAAAATAAACAAAGAAACACAAGAGAAACAGTCGCTGACTCGGAGACGACCATCTTGGATATAATGATAATTAAAGTGAAACAACGAGACGAATTCTCGATTAGGAGAAACTGACGGCTAGGGAAATTCCTAGGGACTTTGGACGGTTATGTTATTCCTGTGGGTAATTTTTTCACGTGCACTCTACGCAGCATTGACGGCGGCTGATGGTAAGTCAGAAAAGATAATGAGACGACTGGGTTACTTTATACCTACTTATCTTTACTCAAAGTGTATTTTAAGTCGTGTGCTTGACGCAGAACTCGCTCAGCTGTTCATCCTGAAGTCTTAAAGAGTCTGAAAAGCTTTCGGTATATTATTGCCATAGCATAAAGAGACGCCTGGACGCCGCTTAAGTGTCGTCGATAAAGGGAGATACTTATGATACAGGTATGGGTTATGTTTTTGTCTATTTATGTACACGGTGTATTGCATATTTACTTTTGATATTCACTTGGCTCGTGCCGACTATAAATTCGCAGACAAGACCACGATATCATTGCAATGTTATTTGCATGATATATATATTATTTTTTTAACACAGTAATAATACATAATGCACGAGTTAAGTAGGAAAATAGTAAATAATGATTTTCATCCGATAAATATTAGTTTAGTTCAATGTTGTGAAATTGCAAGAGGGTGCAGTCGTTTCGAAGCCAATTGCTTCGATTTTATCCTTTCTTTTAACTCTTTTTCTTGTCACACAGAGTCTGGCGAATAAAAGAAACAAGGAAACACGAGAAAGAGAAGAAACGATGTATCTCTAAGAGGCGACACAAACCAGGTGTCGGTTTGGCACGACGACCACAATTCCAGTCAGGCTTCTCTCTCGCCAGTTATGGCTTTTTTGCCGGGCAGTAGAAGCCAATTATTATTCAAGGTATGTAACCGCCAAAAATTAAGTAATGCTTATAAAGGTACATGCACCTGCGTTTTAGCAGGTGCATATATACCTCTGGCCAAACCTTAGCTGGCGCAAGCCCACTTAAACTTAAGAGGCGTGTGCAAGTGATCTGCTTTGCGTGTCCCTTCGACGTAGGGCATAACGAGTATGCACACAGCACGAAGCTCTTTTGGGACTTACAGCGAGAACGCGAGGGCCCATGCTGCAGTTCAGAGTAATCAGGAAAAATTCTTCCTGGTTTCACCGAGTATATGCAAACAAATGAAAAAGTCCCAGCATCCGTTAACGGACGTCCATAAACATTTCACGTGTACCATTTGCAGTACTATTGAATATAATTTTTTTCCCAATTTTTACAATAAAAATAAAGAATAGTGACAGCTTTACAGGAAGTCGATGAAAATATGTATAGATGCAATTCCAACGCCAGTGTACGGACACCTATGGAATATTCTGTAACTGTATATATATTTAAGTCCCAGCTTCCTATGCAGACCCAAGGAGCACGAAAAGCCGATACCGATCTCAGCCAAGTATAGCAGGGTCTTATCGAGCCTTTGATCAGGCCCCAATGCGTAGCCAGGACTATCGATCGTGGCGTCTTTCCCATCGTACTGACGCCGACGCCGTTGCTAAAGACGAAAAGATGAAAAACCGTCTTGAAATTTGTCTTTGAATAAAAATAATGAAATAATTTAATAAAAGCTCAAGACAACGTCCACATGGTAACGTCCTGTGGACGTCTTCGGGCATCCAAGGGATCGTCGCTTGGGTATATCGTGGCGACGGGTTGGTACAGTCCAGGCAGCGACTAGTGGCGCCGCCTACTTAATTAGCCCAGAAGCGCTTTTAAGCTCGCCCTGAGCGTCGTGTCGACTTTTAAAACGTGTGGGAGACCTCGTTCAGGGGTGCCGTTGGCTAAGTGTTGGTAAACTGGCTTGGAAGAAACCGGTAGCCGAGGTACAGTAGCCCCAGGATACCTGGTGGACGATGCTTCTCTCGCGAGGTATGGTCGTCCTCTTTATACTAAAGGCTACGTGCCGACGTGCCTCGACGCCTTTTTTTCGTCGAGTCACCCAGCACACGACTGCCCGTAGCTACGATCACGTTAATCTGATAGGAATACGGCTTGGGACGGTAGGTACCCTTAAACCTAACCTAAAATCTAAAACAGTTCGTAGGACGTTGGGAAAAAATATAACATACAAAATTCATGTATCATTATTGATCGGATAAATTCATAAGGAAATTATGGTTTATGAGAAATATTTTTTAATGAAAAATTATATGTTACCTAATTATTTATATTTTCAACTGTAAATTCTAGATTTAATTGCACTTTTTTAATATACCGTTTCGTGTTACGGGGTTGGCTGGATATGGGAAAAATATGCAATTTTTACGTTTGATGACGTAAACTCATATATTGGGTCTTTTGTTTATGTTCTAGGAATTTTGTGTATTCCTACAGTAAATATGGCCGATGATATTTTTCGTTTTCGTTACTTTGCTCGGTTAAGGTTTTGCCGCTGCAATATTTGCTCGCGCGCCGTTCCGTCTTATTTAAGGAATTTCACCAGGCCTCTCATTACGCGCGGTAATTGCAGTTTCACCGCGGCGATTATCGTCGAGCTTTGAATACTCGAACGTCGCGGGATTCGATCGGCACGCGGCTATACCGCGCGTCTACGCGTCCATGCGGGATTTGTATCGGTATAGGGTATTTTACGAGGGTGTTCAAATACCGATCCGATAATCGGCTTGGTCTCAGGACTACCGGTTTTTTCCCCCTTGGGAATTCCTAAGACTATGGAGCCACAATTTTTTTTTTCACTTTCAAAGATCGGTTACAAATGGATCGGTAACCGATCTCTGTTTTAATTCGATTGACGATCCCTGGGAATTTTTTTAAATAATACCCTTACCGATCCTACCACTACATTCGAACAGTCTCCGAAGAGTGCCGATTTTTTAAGACGCATATATATATGTATATGACCGGTATGAAACGAATTTTATAAAGGACCCCACGTCTTACAACCTAATACGTCAGATGGCCGTTTAGTATCATTGATACTGGAATAATTTGATTACCATGTTTTATGTGACGAAGCTTTTGGCTTCTTTTGCCGATTTATCACGCCGAGGGAAAACTCCGGTTTCGATGCGTTAAAACAAAAAGAGACACCAGTATCTCGAAGACGATACGCGAGCAGGTGCAAATGCGGGTCCTTTTACGCTGACGCGGCATTTCACGGGCAGTGTGGAAAAACAAAATCCATAAGAGCGAACAAAAATACTAATGACCGGTAATTCTCGTCTGGTTAAGAATTAATGAGCAATCTTAAATAGTAAAATTGTATATAACACGATTTTCTTGTTATTTAAACACATAATACAAATAACGTGCGAAATTGCATTTGAATGGATTTTATTTGTATACTACGAGGCAACTATTTTTATAATTAAAACAAATTATTATCAATCACTATAAAATCTTGTACAAATAATACTCAGCGATATATTGACAGCTGTCAAATTTCGTGATTCCACGTTGGATAGCTCTGTATAAGTGCAGCACGCAGTCATGGTCGTCACGTTATCGGATGGTTTTTGTTTTCGACGTGAACGTCGGAAGCACGTCGTAGGTAGTTCGATTTTTAATTACACCCGATATAAATCAATCGGCGATCCGATCAGGCTGTCGCTGCCATATACCTTTACGTATACTGTGTACGCGTTGGTACCACTGCCGCGGTCTGACTGGCGAAACCGCATAACGAGGATGCTGATGCTCGCGCAAAGCATGCATGCCGACATTACGAGCAAACGATAAATTCAGCAGGAACGCTATTAATTGGGTCACGTTCGTCCACTTCATTATTATTCCCGGCGACGCGAACGACATTTGGCGGCGGAAGAGAGAGAAAGACGGAGAGAGAAAAAAAAGGTGAAAAAATCCACTATACAAACGCTTCGGACACGAGTTGGACATTCTTACCGATCCTCGACACTCCTACACCGATTTCTGTGATACGAGCAACGGCGATTATAATTGTCATGAATAAATTAATAATCGATAAAAAAAAATCGAGTGTACCAGAATGATCTTGTTGGATCGTATAAAAAAAAAATTGGTCTTCCGGAGAACAATGATTTTTAATCATGGTCCAGCTGGAGAGATCGTTACATCTCGTACTATACATTTAAGATCGGTATTACAAATGATCGTCAAAAGAAGCCGGCAATTTCGCATAGCTATGGGTTCCGCCTTGAGCAGAAGCCGACACCGTAGTTCTTAGCAATCACTCGGTATAATCGAAGAGGGAACAAATAAAAATCGGTAGATCGTTACAGCACGGTTTTTGTCTATACGGCACTGGCTGCTCTTAAAATCGGTCCGAGTTTCCGCACTTACCGCCGGCAGTGCTGCCATCTTCCTTTTCCATCGTTCTACCTTTACCACCGAGTCTCCCCTCTTCCTTCGCCATAGTTTCTGTTTCTACGTCCGTCAACCCGGTCGGCATTTCGTTCCACCAGATTCCGATCTCTAGTCAAATCCTCGTTTGTAAACAAAATGCATTCGCCCCATTCGAGACGTGGCAAGTTTTTATCTTCACCAACAGAAGCGCGGCTCGCCCGGAGTCGCGTCGTACGTGTCTCGGATGTTTTGCCGTGGTCGATAGTCGCTCTCTGGAGCCGAGAACGGCGCCGGCAGCGTCTCGCCAGGACGCCCCGATGCGAGACCAGGAGGACGAGGTAGGGAGAGTCAACCAAGAGAAGCAGACGTAGAACAAGATGGGGTAAGACGAGGGGTGGATAGAGTCTGCCGAAGAACGTGTACAGGAGTCTTGAGACCTGGACCAGGTCGGATCATCTTCATCCTGGAGACCGGGGACCGGTTGGTGAGATTTTCAATGTTCTGAAGAAAAGAAACAATTTTTTTATTCAGGTATATATACCAGACAGTAATTATGAGTGGGTGGTTTATCAATTTTGGCGTCGGGACGCTTGTCAGAAATTTTTTAAGACGCACCCAACACGTGGATACGTCAGAAAATATTCAGTGTACAGACATTAGGCTGTTGACTTCGGTACTGCAGGTTTGATATTGATGCTGCGCCTTTGGTGTCTTGGTATGATCGGTTCGAAAGATGACGTTTTGTTTTTTTTTTGTTTCCAGGCCGTTCATCTCCTCGCGAAATTAGCGTTGTTAATTGGCTGGAGGGTCCGCGTACGAGGCTTGCCAATTCATCTGAAAATACGAGGTAGCCAGGCGAGAGAGTGCCGGGCAAAGAAAAGATCGAGGAATAACAAGAGGACGAATAAGAAGAAGAATGACGATCAGAGGAGGAGGTGCAGGTGTTACCAACCGTAATACAACCCTCTATGCTCCATCGTACCATCTCACGCCCTTATTTTTAAAAGTATCGTATATGCATCCGAAGTCGCTGCATACTATTTAAAATGCATGGGGAAACGTTTCGCGGGCATTTTTAAGCCGAGCGCGACAGTGCTGCCTCTGACGGCAGATGTCAGCTGTGGCGTCCATGCGGTTTCTGACTGTTGAAATGCAGGTCCGTAACACGTATATACTTCCTAAGGATGTTTCACGAAACTTGTTACGCGTGTGGTAATTATTTAACTCTCTTAATTGTAGGTTGCTGAATGCTTCTGCATATTCATTTGGAGGTTAGCTGCTTCACGTGTAATGGATTGACTGACGTTTTCAATCGCTGCGAATTACTACAGGAATTGGCGTGTACTAGCAGGTTGGTATCTGAAGCTATGAAAATATTGGCGAGAGCAATTATTCGACTCTGGCAGGGAATTCGCGATCATGCGTTCTGGCATTGTTATTCGGTAAGCATTGCTTCGGGTACCCTGACAAAAACTCGACCTGGCCTAAAGTCAGGGTGCGCTTACGTCAGGTGCTCAAGGCGTAGTCAGTTTATTATCTCAAGGAGTATATAAGAAACGAACGGAGTGTGTGACGTGGCTGGAAATGGTATGAATTTCGAAATAAAATTGCTGGCCAATACGGCGGCGCTGCTGTCTGATCGAGACGGTGAGATCTTGATAGTTTATTCTTTTTCTTAATACATTATCTTTTTGCAGGTTTACATCGTTTCGAATTATTCTACCGGAACGTCCGCTGGTATCATCCGTTTCGTGAGGTCGTGACGTCATTCTCCGAAGACTGCAAAATGTTCATGTTAAACGACCACGCCGAATCGCACGATGAGACGTCTAGACGACTTTGGCTGTTAGCACTCGTCCAAAATTACTACAGGACAAATTACGCTCTAATCTCTACTGTCAGTAAATATAACCTTATTTGAGGAGCGAAAAATATCGCTGGCTGTCGGGTCTATGGGTGGACTCTCTGGCTAGTCAAATTTGATTAGACCGGGATTTAGATTAGGCTCACGCGAAACGGCTGTGCTGGCAAACATTGCGAAACGGATCGATCCGATTGGCCTGTAGGACGCCTTGCAAATTTCTTCCGTCAATAAATAGACGTTGGACTTTGTTAATTCGAAAAGTCAGTAAACAGCGGAGATTCTCGAGAGCGGAAGTTGAATGTCTAAGTTAACTTTAACTGGATGGCGTATTGCAAAATTTTTGCTAATTCAAAAAAAAATTTTAATAATTTTGCTAAAGTTACATAAAGTTAACATCTATTCGTCATGGTCATGAGAAGACACACTAGCACCTACGTACAACTGTGAATTCAAATGGAAAATTAAAAAAAGAAAGAGAATTAAGTCAAAAAGAACTATTACGAAATTCCAAATATTTTACCTAAACAGATAAGTGACAAGACAAAACATACCCCACCAATTTGTCGAGATAAGTAATTCTTATCAAAAGATAATAAGGTACACTAGAAAACAAAAAAAGAAACATCAAATTTAATGATCACACATAAATAAATTAAAAGACAGCGCCATCTGTTCCTCGGCTAGTATAATTTTATTTAAAGCAAGAAGAAGCAACGTTCGAGTTTTCCAAACGTAGTACGCGCGCACGTTTCACGGCAATTAAAGGCTAACGAAGACCCGATAACTCTTATACACTTCTCAGCCAGGTAAGAGCAATTGGAGAGCGCTCATTAATATTTCTGAAAATGGTTAAGCGAGCGATTTAAGAGGCGGCTCATTAAGCGATGCTTCTCTTTCAGGTAGGTAGGTAGGTAGGTGCTCACATCTGATAAAAGTTAAGCATCGCCGGAAGGTGCTTACGTGGTGGACAGTCGGACAGTGAGTAGTTAGGGGGCAAGCACGGAGAAAAGAGACGTGGAAAAAATAGCAGAGCAAGAGAGAGAGAAGCATATAGGTAAATTCTAAAAAAAAAGGGTACAGTCCATTCAAAGTTACCTAGACAACATTAAATACATATACGCAGTTGATTTTCGATAATTCGAATTTCTAAAAGTCAAAACTAAGACGACGAATCTCCAAATTTTCTAATGCCTCGTTTCTGTAACTTGAAAAACCTCGATAGATCGAAACCGCGATAACTCCAAACGTATTTCCCTCGAGATTCGAGTTATCAAAATTCCACTTTACGTATATAAAGTCAAAGCCAGTTGACAGTGCACACTGCTAGACGTTTAAAAAGAAATGCCGTCCCCTTATCCTACATCTGCACGTTTGTCATCCTCTCGGTACATCTGTCTAATTGACGCATGCGTATAACCCAGGAGTATCATCCGCATTGCATCGCGATCACGAGCGGAAGTCGCGCAATTGCGAACACACCGAGCAAGGGCAAGAGCAAGGGCAGATGTTCATTACCGGAGACTGGTCGTCTCGTTATTATTTGGACAGGCGCATCTTGTACGAAACTGTACCCCGACATATATATACATACAAGAAATGTGATAGAGTATAGCATTTGACTCGAGTAGTCCGAACATATATAGCATATAATACATCGTGTAAGCCACCGATCCACTAGAGATCCCTTTGACTATAGTAAATTTCGATTAATATAGGTACAGTCGGTGTATCTTGTTTCTGACGTGGGTATCGAAATGGTGTAGCTGGTAGCTGGTTTTCGACGTCATTACCACCTGCCCGTATTGGTTCGTTTCGCTGAGGCGCGAGTGAGAGATTGAATAAAATGTTGATAAAGAACAAGAGAGAGAGAGAGAGAGAGAGAGAGAGAGAGAGAGAGAGAGAGTACAGCCGCATCGTTCCGTTACCCAGAGCCATTATTTTCTTAGGCAATTTATTTTTATGCTAAACAGCTGCTCGCGAACCGGAGCTTCGTCGTTTCAATACGGCTGCGTTAATCGATAGAAGCTTTTATCGTCGTACATAACCTCACATAATTTCATTCGTTCGGGCGCCCACTTGCGGATCTTGTAACGTCGAGAGACATTGTTCTTTATGAAAATTGGGACCGTTTATGATCCGTGATGGAGGTTACGTCCACGTCTAGTGAATAATGCCGTGGTTTAATACTGTATTTGAAAAAGTCCCTAGGCCAGGCAGTCGCCTCGTAGTAGACGATAGGCCACTTGTTAAAATATTAATACGAAATGGACTCGTCGCTGTTTATTGACTGGTGTACAATAGTTTGTCCCACGTTAGTTATCCCCGTAAGACGAACGCGAAAATATGGAGCACTGATAACAAGGATATACATTTTATCTCGAGCGATTTTCGACCTAACCTAACGCGGAGATTGGAATTTTTCGATAATTCTTATCGGTATTTTATGACAGGTAGGTTATGTATTATTTTTAGTCGCTGGTACGTATATGTTATAGATATGTAAAATCACATGTGATCGATTCATATGAGGATACGTATGACTGACTGTTCGATCGAAATTTCGTAATAAATTTTTTTTATTTTTTTTTTTGGTACTGTAAACATTTTTTTTCTAAACAAATTTTACTCCATGAATTTGGTAGTGAATTGGGAAAAAAAATGGCGGACGTGATCGCTGGACGTTAGAGATCGTATATTGGTATTAACACGCGAGTAGACCTGCAATTGACTAGTACTGTTTTTGCAAATGACTTTTACAAATCTTTGCCCATCGTCATTCCGCTTAGCTCTGTGTAATCTGACAATTATGAGAATTAACTTTGGTTTCTATTAACGCGATACGAAACGTTAAATGCTCTCTAACTGGATGGCATTATCCGAAAAATATTCGTTGCTTATTAGCGGCTTCTTGACAACCCACGACATTTCTTTAACCGATTGGTAGTACCGTGTGCACCGGTTTAATCTTTAGGTAAGTTGGTACACGTGAAAGAATGTTTTGATAGTGAGAGATGAGAAATTGACATTAATAAGGTAATCGTCATAGGTATCGATAATCAATCAATATACTATAATACGAAGGATGGATATCAATTGATGATATTTGAATTGTAAAAATTATACTGTATATATATGTATATATTGTGACGTGATTTTTCGGATCACGGTCCCAAGGCGGTTCCGGTTACCGATACAGATAACGTTCTCGATTTCTGGTTCTCTTCGGGTCGCCACCCTGCTCAGAAGCCACGCTCTCGGGTTGATTCGTACAGTTATGTCAAGGCTCTCGTGAGATTTCGTTATTGTTTAGTTGAGGTCGAGGTGCTCGAATCTGCCGTGGGGAGATAGTCTCGACGTACCGAGTTGCCCGGCAGAGGAGACGACCCGACGGAGACGTCTCCACGGACCGGCAGGAGCCCGGGTGAGATACCGGCGCCCCGCTGGAGATGGGCAAAGGGCAGGATAGGAACCTCCTGCCCGAGTTAAGGACGTGGTGCCCAGCTGTCGCCCGATGCCCTGGGGAAGCGGCCGTGGAGGATCTCCAGATGACACGTACCGATTCGCTAAGGAACGCTCTTGATTTGGTTTAAAGGGACGGCTAGAAGGAGATAGAAGAGTTATCGGCTATAAGGGTCTCGACCAATCAGATGATCAGAATTATTAGTTATCGAATTTGGATATTTTGTCAAAGCAGTCTGTCTCGGGGCACCGACCGAGGTGTCACGAGGG